ATTTGAGAAGAAAACTATTGAATGAAAAAGGAAGAATGTTATGAAGTGTAAATGATTTTCATTAGTTATAGTGATAAAAAAAATTAATAACATAACATATAAAAAATACTAACGGATTTGAGTGTAATTATAAATAAATGAGTATTATATGCATTAATTGTAGAATGATAAATTCTTTTTGATAATAATCATTAATACTATTTAACCCATTTTTAAAGCTCTTTTCTAATTCCTCTTTTACGTTACATTTTTTTTCCCTGTTCTCATCTTTATTGTTATCTATTTATTTTCATAAATCCTTCAAGGTTAATGAATGAATGACACAATGTGGCCTGCAATCAGATTCAATTGGGCATTTAAAGATAAATTCAAATGCTGGCCATAGAAAAGTGCCACATCACATTTTCTATATCCAGCTTTATATTTATATATAGATTATTCCTATTCAGTACAAGAAAGAATTTTTCATCTGTAAATAGTGGTGTTTCTTCCTTTGTGAAGTGGGGTAAAAAAAGAAATATGAAAAATGTGAAATAATATTGTAGTGTATAGTAGTGAAAGAGAGAGTTAAGAAAAAAAAATATTCTCAGTCTTCAACTATATTCACTATATAAAAGAGAATATTTATATGTTGAAGGAAGGTATTCTTTTAGTGGAGCTTTGGGCTCTTCAACTAATACGGGGTTGCTTGAGTTGTACGGCGTTATTGAGCTATGTATCCTGGAGGGGATAAGTCCAAAGTGATACTGCTGGATCGGTGTAGATTATGTTGTACTGAACTTGAATCTCCTTAAAGAGTAATGATTATTTATAATTATTATTTTATTTTTAACTATAATTTATTCTATTGTGGTATATTACACCAATACCTATTACTAAGTGTTAGAGCCGTTAATATGGGCTAGTCCCGTTGGGCCGATCTGACTTAACCCGTGATTTGATTGGGTTGGACTACGATTTTTGAAGCTCATTTAAAAAAATAATTTTTTATTCTGGCTTGAATAAGCTTGTCGATTTGTAGGGCTTTAGAAACATGTATAGGGTCGGCCCGTGGGCCAAATAAAAATAAAAAAAAATAAAAAATAAAAATAGAGTATTAATAAAAAGGAAAAATTACTTTAATATGTACCTTTTAATAAATAATTACGGATTTTAGCAATACTTTTTATTTATTACCATTTATAGCAATATGTAACAATACTATGATAATTTTGCAATATGTATTAAAAGTGAATTATGTATGCAACATATACGTATTATAATTGTTTTTAAAATATATTATGCTTGTTTGGTAAGAAATTGACACATTGTATTATAAGTGTATTAAAATGTGTGATAAATGTATTATTCACCAATAAAACTTGTATTATATGTGTTTTATAAATTGTTCTCTATAATATGTATTAAAATTGTATTATAAATATATTAAAAGTGATCAAGTAGAAAAGAAAATGTTATTGCTATAAATGGTGAATATTTTCTTAATATAGTATATTTATGTAAGTTTCCCTATTTAAAATAACAAGAGTCTAAACTCAAAATCTGTTTAAAGTTTGAAATATTACAATTTAAATACAAATTATGTTTATAAAATATATACTACATAAAATAAAATTTCCCTAAAATTTGTAGGGAATCACTACATAGGCCATAGCCTATGGAATATTGTCATAGTTTTTGTGTTTTATTATGATCATTGGAAAATAATTATGTTAATATTTCTATTTAGCTATTTATGCTTTTACTTGAAATCAAACTTAATAAATATTATAAAAATAATTTTATTCGTTTATTTGATTAACAAGTAGTAACACTAACACCATGCAATATTATATTGTCGATATTTATGATGATATTTTTGAATTATAATTTAATTTAAAAAAATATACTTTTAAGAAAAAAAGGTTGGTCTGACAAAGTCCGTAGCCCACGTACTTGTGGGCTGGACCTACCATTTTCTGGCCACACAAAAAATGGGTTAGCCCGGCCTGACCTGTTAAAACTCAAAGCCTTTATGAGTTAGCCCGAATGAAGTGGGTCAGCCCATATTGACAGCTCTACTAAGTGTCATCCTCCCTTTCGATAATGATTAAAGAAGAATAAAGAATAAGCCAGTTTCAAAAAACCTGTAGATATCTTCAAGAAACTGCATAAATATGTCAAAAATATGTTAAGTATTAAAATGGGTTGTCTTTGAGTTGTTAAGTGATGTCTTCATCGGGGGAGTAAATACACACTACACTCTTTTTTCTTAACTGGATTTTATCCCACTGAATTTCCCTGAGAATTTTTTTTAATGAGTCAACAAACCTAGCATATGACTATATTATTTCTTTCACTAATGTTTTTACATGGACATCCAATAGGGAGTATTGTAAAATGGATGTCCACATAAATATATTTTGTGTTGTAACACAAATGTACAAACAACATATTTTGTGTTGTAACATACATATACACACAATATACGTAGCGTTGTAAGATAAATATACACATAATAATATTATGTGTTGTAAACTAGCTATCCATATAATATACTTGGTGCTCAAGTACAGGGCCGACTCAACAACATTGGGGGCCTAAAGCGAAACTTAAGAGAGGGGCCCTAATTTTTTTTCCATTATATTTACTTTTATTTAAAGTATACTTTTCTAGCTATTTCAGATGCAAAGTCATTAAGTATTGTTTTATAATCAATTTATTTTAATAATTCCTTTTCAAATGATAATATAGCTAATTCGTTCAAACTGTTGATCTTAAAGAAGATTTAATCAATTTTAATTTCGAACAAAGAAAAATTTGGTTGAGCAACGGTTATAAGAACTATTAACACAATATGTGTATTTGAAAAAGAATCAAATCTTTTATTTGATTGAATATTTTCATTAATCATTATCTTCTACTTGTATTATTTATCTTTAACACGTTTACTTCAAAAAATAAATCTAAACCATCAATTCAGAATAACTAGTATGTGTTAAAGAAAGTTCAAGGTAAGACAATATTTTTAAAAAAAATTCATCATCTAGTAATCTCAATATTTTACCACTAAATAAGAAATCAAAAATATTTTTATATGCTTCAATTGGTTCAAATCTATTTTAAAGTGAAAAAATAAGTTTGATCTACTCTATATATATAACGTAATCAACTCTAAAGATTCTTTGAGGGACTTAGTGATTTCGTTATTCATATTTTCATCAAATTGTTTCTTACGAAAACCATATTTATATTCATGTCATATGCAATTTCTTTAGTAGAAATCATAGCACTCATAGTACATATCATTTAAATAAATAAATAAATAAATATATATAAGTAATTATTTTTTAAAAATGGGGGATCCAAAAAATATGGAGCCGCAAGCAATGTCTTTAGTGGCCTAGGGGTTAAGATGACCCTGCTCAAATATATACAATATACATGACAAATACATATTCATATAATTTACCTGATATCCAAGTATATACACACATTTAGAAAATAACTATATCCCTCTTCTTGTAACAAAAAATAAGGTAAAAGTAAGTGACAAGAAAAATAATTTACTTATTTCCTCCCTCTCATATTAGATGGACACTTTCTATATTACACATTTATTAATAGATTAATCAATTTTACTATTTTGCTCTTTATTCATATTTATTAGCCTCTTGAAAAAAGAAACTTTGAATCTTTAAAATTCGTTCAAACTTTCAAAGTCATATTAATTATAGGGGAAAAATGAGAATAAAATAATTAATTCTATCCTAATTTTATAAGTAATCAAGTACTCCATCCGTTCACTTTAACTAGTCTTACATTTTGATTTGGCACACACATTAAGAAAATAATTATTGATAAGATGTATTTTATCAAACTATCCCCTATTAAATGATGTTCTAAAAAATGATTTGAAAAATAAGTAATTAATACTGATGGTAAAACATGAAAAATAATTATTTTCTTTTCTTGATATGTCAATACTGACAAGTAAAAATGAAAATCTATTTTAGATATAAGTAATAAGTAAAAGTGAATGAAGGGAAGAATATGAAACAAATATTTTTAATAAGATCCATCTAATATGAATAGAGGTAATAACATTTTAATTTTTCTTCTTCTTAATTTAGTATATTACCTTTATTTTATTATCAACAACATGTTTTTTACCCTAAAAAATGGGGATAAATTCGTTTTAAGTGCTGCGCATTACCGCGAAGTTATAAAGGAATCAGAAGCACTTGACGGACTAATAAGATTGTGGTGGAGTGACAAATACTTCTTTATTTTTGATTAAGAAATTTGGTGTTCGAGCTTTTTGGTATGGTATTTTTCGACGCAAATTTAAATTTAATCAGACTCTAATATGGATATTGGACACACAATGAATAAAAAAAATTTAACTGCAAGGAAATAAGTACAAGGGCGTATCTAGAGGGGGTGCCGTGGGTTCACGTGAATCCATGCTTCCCTCTTTAGATCATATATAGTAGTGTTATATGTTAAAAAAATATTTAAATATAGATATGTAAACCCACGTTCAAAGTATCATATAATAATATGATGATGATAGGGTGCACCTCTCTGAGTGATGATAGAAATTTAAATCTTATATCTATTTTCTGTTTTTGAGTAACACCTCTTTAAGTGGTTATCGGTTACACTTTTGGCGTTTCAATTAATTTTTCTTTTGTTTTTTTTTTAAATCTTTCAAATTTTTCAAGTGTGTTACATTGAAAATTCTTAAAAAAATTAGCACTATAATTTTTTTTATGTAATTAAATCAAATGTATATATTAAAATTTAAAATTAGTAGTATTATATATTTTGGACCTATAATTTTTAAAATTTAATAGGTCATATTAAAAACCTAAAAGTCAAACTGATCAAATTTATATTTAAAAAATATTTTTTCGTAATCGTGCACCCATCTTATTGAAATCCTGAATATGCCCTCTGATTATAAATAGCAGGATGAGCACAACAATTGTCTTCCTCTCCTTTTCGGTGACCGAGCAAAAGAGATTTTGAGAGTGGTGGTTGCTGTTGGACAATAGAGATCTACTGATTTCATCCTCTCTCATCGGCCGATCTTCGGTAACCACACAGCTTTTCCTTTTTTTGTTTGAATATCTCATCTCAGATCTATCTCTTTACCCAACTGAAACTCTCCTAATTGAAGGTGGTTTGGACCTTACCGGATCAATGTTCAGTTTCTGTTTTTTTTTTCTCGAAATCACAACGTTTTCAAATTGTAATATCTGCTCTATCTGTGATTGTTTTGTTTCCTTGAAGGAATTTTAGCCACTAAATGATGCTCCTTCCTCTCTACTATTACATTTACATGTAGCATTATATGTTTCATAACTCATCATTTGTTCAGGATCATTATGGAAAAGTGTGTCAGAGGGTAATAATAATATTGTTTTTGATATCCTCTGAAGTTGTGACCATAAATGGTGTGTTTATAGTGGTAAAAATTTAACAGTTTGGGATGGCTAGTGGTTTAGTCTTGGGACTTCCAACATGGGATGACTAGTGGTTTGGTCTTGGGACTTCCAAGTTGGAGGTCTCAATTTCGAAAGCAAGAGGTTTGCCTTTTGGGTCGAGCTCTTGCGAGCTATTGCGAGCTATTGCACAGGAGTATGGGTTTTACATGAGTTTTACCCTGTGTGTGCACCCAAAGGATAGCGGCTGCGGGTTTTCCTTGTCATAAAAAAGAAAAAGTGGTAAAATTTGTCTGCTTCTTCCCCATATTAATAATATTAAGAAGAAATTGATGGGTGTTGGTGGGTATCGTCAACACTGGAGATTTGTTAAGTATTGATACAGAAATGATGAGGACAGGGGAAAGGGTTCTGGCCTGGAAATAATTCATATGCTAATTATTTTGTTTGGAAAGTAGTTGCTTTCTTAGATTTCATCCCTCATATTAAGTATTTATGTTATTTTTCAGATTAACGGAGATGGGGCTGTCTTTCACTAAACTCTTTAGTCGCCTCTTTGCAAAGAAAGAAATGCGAATTCTTATGGTTGGTCTCGATGCTGCTGGTAAAACCACAATTCTGTACAAGCTCAAGTTGGGAGAAATTGTTACCACTATCCCAACCATTGGTAAACTTCATTCTGTGGAATCTGTTTTAGTTTTCTTTTACTTTTTCTTTTACCTATTTTGATTCGCCATTTTGCATGTTTAGAGATTTAACTCATCATGGGGTATGCTACTTGAAAGTAAGCTTATATTGATCTGTATGGCTAAAAGGAATGTTGTTTTGTCTATCCATTGATTACTGTTATTTGATAGGTGTACTTCCAAAGATTGGCTTACTCTAGAAAAATTATTAGACATTATTTGCATTTACATGTGCTAATATGGGAGATATTGTATTCTCTGAGAATGGGGATGATATGTTGGGGAATCAAACATTTTTCGCAGATTGCTATTATGGCCTTAAATTTTGTATCTTAATCTAATGCTTATCATGGGTGTTCTTAGGAGAGATTTCTTGATCATGCCATGTAATTTGAACCATTTTCTATTTCAATGATAGGCTTCAATGTGGAGACTGTTGAATACAAAAACATCAGCTTTACTGTGTGGGATGTTGGTGGTCAGGACAAGGTACAAGTAGTTCTTATGCCCTGATTAACTGGTTTTGTCTTATATTACCTGGGGTCTTGCAGTACGTCAGTTCTTCATGACTCAAATTTCTGGTAATAGTTTATCAACTCTGAAGAAGCTTTTTAGCACGCGAAACCTTTATGTCACTCTCTCCCTTCACTGAAAATTTGTGTTGGTTTGCATGATTTTCTTGTAAGACTTTTTCATCTGATGAAGAAGTACATACTTTTCTGACTTTGATAAGCTTCCATAACTAGTTGAGCATAGTTTGGCCCATTAATATTAATTTACTGAGAATACCTCTATTAATGTGGAATTAATGAGCTTATGGATGGTCAGGTGTTGACTATACTTTTATCAACACCTAACATGATCAATGCTATACTGAACTGAGTTAGCTAGTTTCATGTCTTCTATCTTCTAAAGAATAGCAAATTATCTTGTGGCAAACATGTTTTTGACTTTTCATAAACTACCGCGAGTTCTTCAGATCGCTGATGTCTGAGATGATGTTGGTTGGGAATTTAGCATTATTCTACTAAAAGTTCTTCCGAAAGGTCCTCATTTTTAATTGCATCCCTCTGGGAAATCATATGGTCATTGGATTTTTTAAATTTATTTTTTTGGTTTCTTTTGATAACCAAGAAATCTGAGTGCTATAGTGGCACACCGTCCGAGACTTGGTAGGTAATGAGACAATCCCTCTAACTTTCTCCACTTAAATATACCAGACTTCTGTTTGCAGCATGGTTCGAACCCATCCTACTCCACACAGCATGTGTTACACAATTGTTCTACCATACTATGAATATGCGTTTGCTGTGGGAGACTCAAAAACCTAGAAAATAAGTTGGGAAATAAGGAATTGTTCTATGAGACCTATAGGAATATAACCTTTGAAGGCGAGTTTTGTGAGGCTAGGAGAAGGTTTCATATAAGCTTCGAGGGTAGCATTTGTTTTGAGGTCATGCTAGGTAATTTGTAAATAAACAACTGAAAGGGAGTATGCTGTTGAAGCAGTACATGTGCAGCAAAGTAGGGAGTCTTACACATTATCCTTCTAAACCTGTGGTGATTTAAACCCCTCTAAAATAGATTTAACATCATCTACTTGTTCCATCTTACACCAAAAACAATATAATTTGACTTCAACTTCTGTATGTTTTCCATGTCTTGAAAGCATCTTCTCTTTCTCTCAATCCAAACAATCCACCAAGGCACTGAACAGTAGCTGGTTTAATGTTGCACAAATCCTCTTTCTCTCGGCCAACCCTTTTCCGCTCCAATACTTCAATGACTTATTAGTTTGCTGTAGCATTACCCACTGTAACTCCACAAGCTGAGCGGTGATGGGGCAGTGCAAATAAAGGTGACTGCAAGTTTCGGATGACTTTCAACATAAAAATTACCTGCTGCACTGGATAAATCCTCTTTTCTGTGGGTTTTCATGTGTGGGACATGCTAGCTTATAGTGTAGCCTCTGTATGAAACATTCTAGAATTTGGAGCATGTAGGCATTTATGACCATGTATTTAAGTTGGAAAATGTATGACCTGAAGTGAGAAGTCAGAAGAGAAGGGTAATAATGATATGGTAATTCGTTAGAAGGAAAGGATTTTACTCTCCCACTCAATTAGACGTGTTAACGAGTCGAGTCTTTGCTGAAAATGCTAGGCCTTGGCTGCTTTTAATGCAGCACCACCTCATTACTTAACTTGAGCCAGTATTATTTGATAGTTAGAAATCCTTGCTCAGCTTTGGCTTAACTCATGTATTCTCTATCAGCATTTCTTTTTTTTTTTTTGGTAAGGAACACTTTTCTGCTTCATTCTTTTTCCACATTTTTTATACACAGATCACACAACCACACAGAACATCCTCGTTGCTCATTTCTCCACGGTTTTCCTCATGTCGTTGTTGTCATGTCTTTTCGTGGAAAACTGCTACTTACCGACTCTTAGGCATTGCTTCCAACCCCCCTCCTCCTCCTCACTCTCTTTACCTCCCTTCTGCTCATATTTATTTCGGATAACCAAAAATATCTCAAGGGCCAGTGGTGCACAGTTCGGAACTCGGTTGAATAATTGGCCGTAACTTTGCCCTTCTCCTCTTAAATACTAAGCTTTTGTTTATGGTATGGTTTGAACCCGTGACATGCGCCCTACCCCAACATCACATGTTGTGCTTTCACCACTAGACCAAATCCCTTGGGGCCAACCCTCTTCTCATATCAGCCAAATGAGATACAACATATGAAAAGATTATCCAAACGACATAAGGGATGTGAAAAAAGATTATCAAAATGAGATGCGGAATATGAAAAAGATTATAGAGCTGATTATATGCTTGCTCATTTGGACCTGTTTAGAGATCTAATTTGTTGTGTTCAAGCTTTTCAAAATGGTCTATAGCCTTTGTTTCAAACTAGGAAAAGTAAAAATTGAAGCAAAAACGAGCTCACAAATGATTTTTCTCTTTATATTTGTCTTTCTAGTTTGATCCACAACAAGTAAAGCTTAACTATACATGTTCGAGCCAAGTTGAATTTCTGTTCAAGATGATCATAACACATGCTAATGTGCTATGCTCAAGCTTGTGTATGATCCAAACATGTGGAACTGGCATGTTTACACCCTTAACCCTGAATGGAAGGTTAAGAGTGAGATGCATGGTAAACATTGGTTATCTCTTCACCCTTGAGATCTCATGGAGGCAGCAAATTGCAAGAACTTGCTCTTAGCCTGAGGAGATAGTTCCTGAACTGGTGTCAGTTACATATAGCTAAGGCATAAATTGGTGTCCCGTAGAGCAGGCAACAAGTTATCTCGTAAGAGTCCCCGTCTGAGTGAGGCATCAGTCGTGAAAGCTTGATCATACTGAACTTCAGTTACATAAAGCTAAGATGGAAACTGGTGTCCAACGATAAAAAATAATTTTTTTACCGTGGACCCAGGTTTTGGCTTAGAATTGTAGTTTCAGTCGCACAATTTCCTATGCTTAACCTGTGGTTTGTTGATTATTTACAAAAGTGATGTATGAGGCAGTGTGTTGAGCACCTAGGGAACGTTAGATTGTTGAATAGAGTTATGACTTATGCAGGTATTAGTAATAATGAATGTACTAGTTGTTCATGTTTAATAGAATATCCCTGTGTTAGTTATTCAATCTTCTACCCTGCTTTATACAATTCAGATTTTGACCCACAACTTATACATGTTTTATTTATGTGGAATTGTAAAATGATAACCAAACAAAGTTCTTGGTATGCTGGATTTTATACAAAGCAACTAAAAGCTACCATGCATGATATTGCTATGCTAGTTTTAGTAAATGAATAGTCTTAACCAGCAACCAAACGACCCTTGATGGATATAAGTGGACTTACGTTATTTCTTTTGTATTTGAATTGGCTATAGCACCTTGTCCATAAGTGTACCTATCTTGGTTCTTTTCAATTGTCTTTTCTACAATCTGTTAGGGGTTTCATGTGTTTTAAAGTTAAAGGCACAGTTTTTATCAAAATTTTTTTTAAAAAATTTTATCAAAATTTTTTTTTAGAAATTTTATCAAAAAAGTTAAAGGCACAGTTATAGGTATATTTCTTTCTGATTCCGGAAGAGCTAAAAGCCTAAAATTGTGTTTCTACTGTTATCTTTTGTGTTGCACTTGCAGATTAGACCTCTATGGAGGCACTATTTCCAGAACACACAGGGCCTCATCTTTGTGGTTGATAGCAATGACAGAGACCGTGTAGTTGAGGCAAGGGATGAGCTTCACAGGATGTTAAATGAGGTAATTGTGATGTTATTATAGTTGGTTAGAAATATCTTTGATAAATGTTAAACTGGATATCCGTCTAACCTCCTTGGGGTACAGCAGTTCTTGATATCTGAATACGTTTTCTGCAGGATGAATTAAGAGAAGCTGTGTTGCTTGTTTTTGCGAACAAGCAAGATCTTCCAAATGCAATGAATGCGGCTGAAATCACCGACAAGCTTGGCCTTCATTCTCTCAGACAACGACACTGGTAATTTATATGGGCACCAACATCAAGTTCGTTTTTCTGTCAATTAGCCTCTTAGATAAGCTGGCATCTAAAGACCCCCCCCTCCCCTCCCTCACAGGTATATCCAGAGTACATGTGCTACTTCTGGAGAAGGGCTTTATGAGGGACTGGATTGGCTTTCAAACAACATCGCCAGCAAGGTATATGCAGTAACTGCATCATTACAGTACTCCGCTTTTCTAAAAAAAATAATAAAATCTCTTACCTGTAACTTCTGGTGCAATTTCAGGCCTAATGCAATAATGTTGTACTATGCTTCTTGCGTTGCTATATCCGGAGAAATAAACATCATTGTCTCATCGTAATTTCTTTCGTTTGGAGATTTTAAATATCTGTTCAGCTCACAATTCTGGGGAAGGCCTTACCCTTCTTCACTCTCTATGGTTTATCGTCAAAGAGCATGGAATAGTTTCCACATTGCTGGATGCACATTGGCAATGTAATGATATTTTAGTATAATATCTGGTTTTGAAACTTGGCGCAGCCGTGTGCACCATTTTGTTGTCCGGTGTGTCTGATGTTGGAATGGGTGTACAAAATGCAATACAGATCAATAGTAAGTATCGGAATTTTGCGAGTAGTAACAATATCACCTGAGTTGCTGTTCGTTGTTCATTGTCCTATCGGTTTTTGACTGAAGATTATTTCTTAGTGTTGTTCCCTAATTTTCTTTAGAAAATCTATTCCATCTTTGGGACGAGAAATGCATAAATGGAAGAACAAGGGTGGATATGCAATGAAACTTGATAACAAAGGCTTAATAAAGAATAAGAAAATGAACAGAAAATTTGAACCACAAGAATATTAGTATAGTGTTTTTGTATTGTCTAGAATTTCTGTCTTTACAACTGAATATAACTTTTCTTTATTAAAATAACAAAATCAGAAAGTAAAAGCATAAAGGAATATAAATGGGAACATATTAAAGAAAGCACCTTAAATCTAGGCAACTGGATGAACTACCATTTGACAAAAATGCCCGGGATGGTGAAAACCAGATGGAAAACATCACCATTTTGAACATCTAATTAGTGGTAAATTAATCTCAAATAGGTGAAAGAACAAAAAATAAATACGAGCAAAGTGACAAAGTTAACTTAGGCACGCAGACCTTGATGAATGCTTGATAAGATGAGAAAAAAGAATGAAGTAAGTTTATTCATTCACTACTAAATATGTTATATGAAGTGAATAAAAAGTATACTAGAAGAAGAAAATGACTTGATCATCCTTTAAGAATGAAAAGAATACTGCTTGCAGAAGCTACATGACTTGATATGTTTTGATACATAAAAATGTTTTGATCATCCATTAAGAATGATAAATTTGATATATGAAGTGCAAACTCATTTATTTTGATGGATATAACTACAAGCAATACCACAAAATGAAATCAGAAAAACAGAGAAAACCTCTAGAATCAGGAAATATATTATCCCACGGTGATATTAAACCACCAGACCTTGTACCTTGCCATGCAAAAAAGCATAAGACTAATCTCAATAAAGCATCAGGACATTTTAGTTGAGGAATAGAAGACGAGGAAGATCACGACGGAGCATCATCTGTGATTTTGATGCTGATATTTTCAACTAGTGTTTCATTCCCATCGGAGGATGAAATTATTCAAATACATAACAAGTTTAGAAATCTAAATAAAATGGAAACAAAAGTATTATGTGATTCAAACACTTATCATAGTCTACAACTGTGGTTCAGATGTGTTAGATGCCTTTAGAGAATCAGTACAACAAAGTCCTTTTGGTCTGCAAATGTTATCTTTAAGCTCAATTATCATCATGATCCAAAGTATACCCTAGGCGTAACATGACGTATCGGACCCCAGAGGCCCTACATAAGCCACTTAGCATGCATCATACAAGATAATAGAAACTCAATAGATTTTAATCCACAATTCATTTTATAAAGAGTTTGATAAAAATGAAGCGGATGTCTATATAGTCTCAAAGTCATCTAGTACATCAAGAGTGATCGGGACGTAACTCGTACATCACAAGCAATACTAAAAAGTAAAGATGATAAGAAACAAAGGCTCGGTCCTCACAACATGAGGACTCACCAATCCTCAATATCTACTAAGTGATCCCTAGCCACGGAGATGGGGAATTGGAGAGTCGGACCATACAATTTTAGAAGAATGTAGGCAAGAGTATGTGTTAGTACAATAATGTACCAAGTATGATAGCAATGTATAAAAATATCAAATTATGCTAAAAGGACATATTCATGACATGCAAAGACCAAGTTAAAACATAAGATAAGATATTAGAAGTACAATCATGATTATGGTCAATGCAAGTAAAATCATCTTAAAACACATGTGAGAAACTTTTAGAAGTAACCTTAGTTCATCATTATTGTTGTGTGAAATTTGCTATAACCGACATAGAGACTATGTGAGCTATAACATGAAATCTGGTGTCTACCCCCACACCGTAAAGTGGTGTCCTCACTTGCCAAGGTAAGTACCATGAACTTCTAGCTTAAGTGGATCCACTAGCTAATGTCTATCTAAGACAACCTATGGTATCACATTATCAAGCCCTGAGGCTACCCCCTGGACGCGGACACGGGACCTAGGATCACAAGTGACCCCAAGCTAACCCTGCTGGCATAATCATAAGCACACTAAAGATAAAATGAAGCAATAAAACTGTGCGGAAGCTAAATCATATGAAAATCTGAAATGATGGGGAATACCCATATACTGTCTGAATAAATGAAAATTGAGATTTTGAATACAAATGAAAGGTCAAACTCTAAGACTAAAGCTGAAACTAACTATATCTGAAATAAAGCCTCTACTGACTAGAAATGCTGGGACATGCCCCAGCTAGATCTAGCAAAACTGAAACTAACAATAAAAATAAGAAATATAATCATGTTACTAGTCCTCGAAGAATGAGGACTCACCACTGATGCTGCTGAACTGAAGATCAGGAATCGATCTATGCGTGATCTGACTGCTGAGGACCTGAACCTACATCATGAGAAGATGTAGTGCAGAGTATGCATCAGTACTTGAAAGGCACTGAGCATATAGGATAGAATAAAACTGAATAATAACATCACTGAACAAGCAATAAAGCAATGGTATAATCTGAACATGATAAGGATACTGAAAGTACTGTACATGACTAAACTGAATGCAATGACCAAGTTTATAACATGTTGAGACTGAATACTGAACTATACTAATAACATGGCCAATGCAATGGAATCTGACTAGAACTGTAAGGGAGCTACTAATAACCGACATAAAATCACATGAGCTAAATGTGGAGTTCGATGTATACGCCCCATCGAGAGGACCCAATATACCCTGCTAGAGGTATAGAGGCATGCTGGCGTGTTCACTAAAATGATGCCCACATAGAGGACTTACAACCTACGGGGCACGTAGTTCTGGGACTTGAGGGTGATTGACCCTAGTCCACTCGGTATTAAGTTTCCCATATGATTAAGTAATTAACACTTTATGAATGAAATACTGGATAACTCAAAATACTGACATGCAAACTGAGAATTCAACATTAATATACTGATAATAGTGCATTCGAAAACTGAGGCATGTTAATATATATACTGAATTTACTGACTTAGCATGTGTAATTCATGAACTAAAAGAACTACATAGCTAGGGTTCTGAATTTATGAAAGAATCTACACCAAAAGATATTGAATTCATGATAATCTGACTTGGATCATCCTAACAGCTAAAAACCTAACAATTCTAACATTCAAGAAACCCTAGGTCTAGATAATAGTAAGGGAATCAAGATTCTGACTGAAATCGAGGGACCTAATGGGTGAAAGGAACCCACTAGTGAAATCCCATATACTTGGTGTCAAATTCCAGGGAGAAATCTTTCAATTTCGGGGCTGGAACTGATGGAACCTTGTTGCGTTCTTGAACTAAGGTTGCTCGACCTCTTTCTCCTCTTACGCTCTAATTTTTCTAAGATTTGATGAATGATCTCACTAAGGTAGTTCTAGTTATGTTTCTAGGCTAAATCTGACTAAAACCACGTAGTTAGGGTTTAAATGATGTAGTTTAGGGATCCAACGCATAAGGAAAAGACCAAAAGACCCCTGACTTAAAAACTGTCGGGGTCACCGACGGACGGGACCGACGGACCGTCGATCGACTGACTATCCGTGCTGGTCAACTGTCAGTCGTGACTGGGGGGGTTTGAATCACAGACACGGACCACGGTCCGTGACTTGACCTACGGTCTGTGGGTCTGGCCGTGGGTCAACACTGAGCCTAATTTCTGGGGCTAAGTTTGATGGGGGTTGCAGATGCAAACCAGGACCACCAACACGGGCCATGGGTCACCCTACGGTCCGTGGGTTGCGCCTGTAACTTCTAGAAATCTGCTTTGAGGTCTGTTTTCGGATACGGGGTGTTACATTATCTCCCCCTTGGAAACATTCATCCTTGAATGAAGACTAAACTAGTTGAAATGGAGGGAGAGAGTTGCAATCCCTTACCACTAAATACTGGAAACTGATTTCTGACTGAACTAAGTTCCAAGAACATGCAAATACGCTGAATATGCAAGTACAAACTGAAGGAACATGATGCTAAGACTAAAACTGTGCATGAATAACTGAAAAAACTGAAGAGGAACTATTACCTCAAGCTGGAATGGGATCGGAAGGAAAGAGGTGAGGATACTTGGCCTTCATGACTGCTTCTGCTTCTCAAGTAGCTCCCTCTACAGACTGACTCCTCCACAAAATCTTAACTGAAGCGATTTCTTTGTTCTCAACCTTCGAACCTGACGATTAAGAATCTCAACTGTACCTCTTCATAAGTGAGGCTATCCTTCACAACCACACTTTATAAAGGCATAATAGATGCTGGGTCACCCACACACTTCTTCAACAACGAAATGTGAAAAACCAGATCCACTGCTGCTAGTTCTGTTGGCAACTCTAATTCATAAGCCACTTTACCAACCTTTTTCAGGATCTTGTAAGGGCCTACATATCTAGGATTGAGCTTCCCTTTCTTGCCAAATCTCATCACTCTTTTCATAGGCGACACTTTCAGGAAATCATCAACTTGGAACTCTAGTTCCCTTCTCCTTACATCTGTATAGGACTTCTGGCGACTCTGGGCTGTCTTAAGTCTATCTCTAATGAGTTGCACTTTGTCCATAGCATCATGAACTGAATCTGGACCTATCAAGACTGCTTCACCTACTTCAAACCAACCAACTGGAGATCTACATCTACGCCCATACAATGTCTCATAAGGGGCCATCTGAATACTGGAATCATAGCTATTATTGTAGGCGAACTCTATAAGAGGAAGGTGATCATCCCAACTACCCTTGAAATCGATCACACAAGCTCTCAACATGTCCTCTAAGGTCTGAATGGTACGCTCTTCCTGACCATCCGTCTGCGGATGAAATGCTGTGCTAAGGTTAACCTGAGTACCA